AAAGGGTAGTGGGTGGGTGGGTTGATTGCTTAGATTGCAATGATGCCACACAAGTAAGAAATAAAAATAAAAGGAAACATAAAGTAAGAAAGAAAAAAAAAAAAAAGAAGACGACAAAGATTTACGTATATCAATTTCTAAAATAATATTTTATTGAAAATCATTATATTACATTGGAAAAGTTGAACATTAAAAAACTGTGATGACAAATTTCTTAAAATCAATGAAACGAGAAAAAGAAAAATTCAACAATTTCTATGAGAAAACATTGAATTGAAATAAAATTAAACACCATTCGTTACGACTGAAGTACAACAATCCCCCCATAAAAGAAGGGGGGCTACACCTAAACGTGTCAAGCAAATTTCAATATGGCGGAATAAGAGCAGCCATTTGCGCACAACCGTAACGAAATGATTGTGAAATAAAACCAAAAAAGTGAGAAACACAATTTGTATTTTAATTGAATTAAAATGAAAATTTGAAAATTTTACAGTTGAATTGTTGTTTGTTTTAATTTAAATTTACATTTAAATTAAATTTAATTTAATTTTTTTTTTAATTTGTTTATTGTGTGCTTTTGTATTGTTTAGTCGCATTGGACATTATACTTACGTGTATTTAGCTAAAAGAAAGATGAAAAAAAGATAGAAATAGAAAAAGAAATAGAGAAAGAGAAAGAGAGTGAGAGAGACAGAGAGACAGAGATAGAAAAAGAATGGAGGGGAAAAAAAATAAAAGAAATAACATAAATAAAGCGTATAAACTACTATAAATATTATAATTAACATTCAACAATTATTATTTATAGTTGTTGTTTTGATTATTATTATTTTTTTTGTTTCTTTTCTTTCTTCAAAAGTGTTTGAATAGTATAAAATAAGGTGACTTTTAATGACATTATTTTATATTAGATTGGTTATTATAATTAAATGAAAACGAACAAAAAAAAAAAAGAAAAAAAGTGGCAAATGGTGGTTAAAAAAAAAGTTTGTTTATCTAGAAGAATATTATTAAATATTATTTAAAAGAATGCACACACAAGAGAAAGATTGTATAAATAAATAAATTTGAAAGCATTTTTTTTTTGTTTTGTTTTGTTTATAAGCTGAGTGGTAATTGTTGATTAATCATTTTTTTATATCATTGTGTGGTGTCATGGCGGTGGTGGTGGTGGTGGTTGTGGTAATGGTTCATCGTGAAAATTTGGATGATAGTCAAATTCGTGATTACATTATTAATTTTTCCTATTATAAATGTACATTTGTTTAAAAAATACAATTCTTGCTTAATGCGTCCCGCAAAAATGAAAAAAAAAAAAACAAAAAAAAAATAAGAAGAAGATTCCAAAGCACAGGTGTGTGTATGTGTGTGTGTTTGTATGTAATATGTGTTATGTGTTATATGTGTAAATTAATATAAAAGATTTATTTAAATATCTTTACGAGATAATATACATCAAAAAAGCTGATTATTATTAATATTATTAGTTATTAAAAAATTGCATTCGATCGATGTTTAAAAAAAAAATAAAAAAAGAAAAATAATCTTATTTCATCTTTCATCTTCATTAAAGACACAACAACAACAACACATCTCATTTGTTTATAATAATTGAATAATGAATTGAATTATTTCATCAATAATTTTAATTAAATTGTAATAGAAAAAAAAAAAAAAAAAGAAAAGAAAATACAAGTCTTTTGTTAAACTAATAAACGTACAACAACCCTAATGCAAAAAAAAAAAATATATAAAATAATAATTATTATTATAATTATTATCTGAAACTACTATGATTTAATATTTGTTGTGTTACATTAAAATGAATTTTTAACATATTTTCAACACAATTATTAATCCTGAATTCAATATCTTTTTTTTTTCTTTTTTCTTTTTTGTTTAAACATTTTATCATCTACAATGTATGTACAAATTGTTATATATATATATATATATTACATATACAGATAATAAATGATTAATAATCAAAAAAAAAAAAAAATAAAAGAAGATAAATTGATGTGTGTATATGTTAACGAAACAAATATGACAATAGTATTTACACACCAATGCCATGATTAAATTATTATTATAATTATTATTATTATTATTATTATTAAAGATGTAGTATAGTAAGTAGTAGTAGTAGTAGTAGTAGTAACTAGTAAGTAGTGCAAGAAGAAAAGTGTCATTTAGAAGAAAGAGAAATTGATTTCATTTGCAAAAGTAAATTTTGTTCAACATTCAAAACATAAAACACATACCATCATCTAATAGAATATTTTTCTATATGTTTTACTTAATTTTTTTCTTTTTTTTAAATTGATAAGATTAAAAAGAAATATAATTGATCACATTCATACACATATAGGCATGTATATATACAGTACAATCTCACTAATCCGGCATTATTAAGAAACCAGAGGGTGCAGGATTATTGGAATGTTCGGATTACTGGATTATAGAGAAAAAAAGTGATAAATTTTGAGGTTAGATTGCTCTAGACAACGACGCAGCGACGGATCGCATAGGCGTAGAAAGGCGAGGGGTGGCGCGGACGGGGGTGTCGGATTATTGATACGGTATTGGTCTATTGAAGTGCCAGGTTAATGAGATTATACTGTATATATATGTGTACATACATGTGTGTATAATTAAAAATATTTTGGTATATATGCGGCGGGGGTGCAAGAAGAAAACAAAATGTCAAACACACATAGAGGACGACAATTATTGAAAAAAAATAAATATCATCATGATTATCATGTCATTCCGGAGTGTGTTATCTATATATATATGTATATATACGTAATTAATTAATTATTTATATATATATATCATAATGAACTTAATATACCTATTTATATCAGTATCTCCAAAGTTTACAAAGGACATTTCTGCAAAAGGCAGAAATATTATGAAAATAATGTTCGATCAATTTTTTCTATATAATTATTAATAATATTATTATTATTGTATTTTAATCGTTATATTTTTTTATATTTTATTTATTTATTTATTTATTTATTTATTTATTTATCTCTTGTTTTTTTCTTTTTTTTCTTTTTTTTTTTTTAATGTATATTAAATTAGCAAAAGAGAAAACGAGCTTTAAAGGTGCACCTGTGTTGTGGCTTCTCTGCGTTTTCTTTTTTTTAGTCAAATGAAAAAAAAAACTAATAATTGATTAATTATTATTTTTTCTTTTTTTTTCTTTTTTTGTTGTTGTTGTTGAATTAATTAATTAATTAATCCATAATTTTTTTTTCTCTTTCTTTTATACTTTTGACTACGTTAATCAAATTGTTGTTGTTGTTTTTTTTTTTTTTACTTTCTTTTTTTTTCCAAATTAAGTACCGAATCATAGATCTGTTTGTTTTATCACCGTTGAGTTTTTTTATTCATCGAGTTAGAGTAGTGTTGCAGTTAATTTAATAATTTTCCCCTCGAAAAGCCTACAAAATAAAAGTAAAAAAAAAAAAGTATATATGTATATATATATAACGAAATTAATATTAAATATTAAATATTTAGAATTTTTTATAATATTATTCTGTATTAAACGCATTATATAGAACAAGTTACACCCTTACTCGTAATGTTTAGTAAAATTTTCCCTTTTACTATTAAACTATATATATATATATATATATACCTGACAACGATATATCATCGTAAAATATGAAACGATTCAGATCATCATCATTAATCATTATCATCATCATCATCATCATCAAAATTGAATTTGACTAAATCGTTTTACGAAATAGCTAGCTATATATATATATATATATTATATTATATTAGATTATAAATTAATGTGATAACAAACGAGCTATATATATATATATTTATGTACTTTTACACAAACAAAAACTTTGTAATAATAATAATAATAATAATAATTCTTCATCAACATTCGTCTCATTTGTACAGATTCTAATTTAACCAGTTAAGAGTGTGGCGTTGATTATGATCTGTGCGCAGAGTGCGCGCTCTGGTGTGTGTCGCGATAATCAAACGATGACGGATATAATCGACAAACAGAGAGTAAATGGCGCTGTTCAAATATTGAATAGTCAAAAAGACAGAAGACTTCTTTATTTAAAAAAAAAAATGAATAATTTTGTTAGTTATTTACACACACACACAGTTTCTCAATATGAAAATATATTTGTACATAATAAACAGAGAAAAATTTAGAGAAAAAAAAATCGAATATTTATAAAAGTTACAAAATTGTAACAAACTTGTTGTACGCATGACGGATATAGTCGTCTAACACGCTTAACTGGTTAAAAAGATTCAAGATTCATTTTACAAACTACAAAAATTATAATCTAATGAATTGTTTTTTGTTTTTCTTTTTTCGTTTTCAACATTTAAACGTTTCCTCTCCCGGTTCTATTATTGTTTATAATCTTTTTTATATGTTTCTATATATATATATATTAAATGATACAGATCATTTATTATCACAATTAAGTCTTAATGGTGTTTCTTTTGCAATTTGTTACGTTGAGACCTATTAGTACCATTTTTTTCGGCGACGTTAAGCTGAGGGCCGACATTCCGATGATCCCCAACAGGTATTCTGAATAGCTTTATCTTCATATGATCACAAATTTCAAGGCAGACTTGAGAGCTATATCGCAGAAGGTCCAATGTGACCCAAATCTAAATAACACAGATTAGAGATTCGATTTTTTACGTTTTTTTTTTTTTTTGTTTTTGTTTGGAAGAAGAAAAGATTGTTTTTGTAGGTTTTACAGGCGCGGTTCTTTTCTTTCTTATTTTAATAGAAAAAATAATTAATCCTTTGGGTACACATTTGTTTGAAAATTACTTTAAAGTATTATAATAAAATTTAATATATTCAAATTTGGATACTTAACGCCACCGCAGCAAAAATTCCGCTAATGCGCCAATAAAGAGCAATCTTGTTGTTTGTGCACAGCAACCTTGTTGTTTGCACACAGCAATCTTGTTGTTTGCACACAGCAACCTTGTTGTTTGCACACAGCAATCTTGTTGTTTGCACACAGCA